CCTCTCGCCGCCGCTGGGCCACCCGGGGGAAGGGGGGGAGTCCCGAGTGACCCTGCCCGCCGCGTGGGCGCCTTTGCTCCCGGAGAGGTTTGCGTCGTTTCAGGCCTTCCCCTCAGGGCTGCCGGCGGGCGAGGGCAGCGGGGCTGGTGCTGTGCCTGTACCCGCCAGCGAGCACCGCCGGATTGACGGCGTTAACGTGTGAAACTAGTGCAAGGTGCCTCTTAAGTTATCCTGAACGCCTAAAGAAATCTTACCTTTATCTTTTCTTTTTTTCGCAATTCTAAACACTGATGCTAACACGAATATGATGTACTAAAGTCGCCGTTTATTGATTGCCGTTTCCTGCATCACATTTGCACATTTAGCCTCCTTGCTTTCGGGTGTTTGTTTTGCACACAGTTAAAGACTTTAAAGAATTTAAATTGCATATTGTTTGATAAAGCCTTTCGGTTTTGTTAAAACACTTTTTCACCAAAAAGTAGCATAACTTAAACTAGCATTACAGTATTTTTAAAATTTGTTAGTGGTGTTCTCTCTCTGTGCTTCATGAAAGGCTAGGGAAGGAAAGCCTCTGGCTGCTCCCTGTGAGCAGCATTCTCATGGTCTGCGGGGAGGTACAAGAAAATCCTTTTTGTTATGTTGTACAAATTACATTATGGTTTTTGTCAGAAACCCAGATGCAACAATTGGATAGAAGCTTGAGTGGGAACAGGTACGGAGAGGTAATATTAGTCTCCTAGCTGTAGGGTTCTACAAAATAGGTATTTTGAGAGTAGTCGCTATGTAAGATTTTTTACAGCATTTTCTGTGCTCCAGTAGTTTTGTTACAGCATGTACTGTGTTCAAGTAATTTTTTTTGTTGCTGAGAAGGGTAAGATCTAACTGTTGGAACTGATAAGCTGCTACTGTAAGTTAAGGGCTTTCTGAGATACTGATGCATGACCTTTTAAGTCTTTACCATGGTGTGTGCTCCCTTTAATGTTTTACCTAACTTTAGTAGTGTATAGTGTCTTTGATTTCTTTTCAGCCAAAGTTACGAAAAACCCAAGGAGGGAAGCAAGAGAAAAAAGTTATCCACCCTTACAGCAGAAAAGCCGCGCAGCTTGCAAGGGAAGCACACAAACAGGAAAAGAAAGAAAAGTAAGTTGACTGTGCAATGTCTGTGTACAGACGAAAGGATAGCGTCACAGTAGATATTTTTTGTTTGGGTGGTGGTGGGAGGCGACTGTTATGCTGATACAACCTTAAGGTAAAAGGCAGACCTATGTAACAGTACTGCTGTGCCGAGTGAACTGACAGGTTTACGTTCATGAAATCGCTTATACAAAGTATATAGTTCTGCTACTTGATTTTTGGTGTTGTCTTTACAAGTTAGGTTTCTTCTTATTGCAGCACTTTGCTTTTTATAATCTGAATGGCGTGGTGCTGGTGATTTCACATGAAGCCCAGTCACCTAGTTTGACTTTACTCGAAGATATAGTAAGAATCCTGCTTGGGGTCTAGCTTCTTGTGCTGAAGTGCTGAGTTTATAGAAAAGGAAACCCAGAAGCCTTCCTGCAGAAGAGAGACTTCTGAATAAAACCTGAATAGTTAACTCTTCTTTGGTGATTTCCTGCTGTTCCATGGCAAGTTTGGTTTTCTGCTTTTAAGTTTTACTTCCCCCTTCTACAGAGGGAAAAGATAGCTGGAGAAGGCTGGCCTTTAGTTTCCATTCTGTCTCAGCTTGCTAGTTGATATGCTGTGATTGTTTGTTTAGAAAGTTATTAAAGCATTTTCTGTCAAGTATACTAGTATATGGATGGACCATGTGAGCTGAGCCCAAATATTCATATGTCTGAAGGTGTTAAATTGGGAACTCCTGGAACAGTTGAAATGTTCCTTAGAGACTGTGCAATTTTATGGGTGGGGATGGATGTACAACTTTATCCACAGCAAAGTTGTAAGGTTGCTCTAACTAGAAAGGGGCCCTTTACTAGCATAGCTGTGTCATGTAGCCTCAACCAGAGCTGCTGCACGAATTTACAAGTAGCATGTGTTGAGGATCGGGCAGTTTCCTAATGTGCAAGTTTTCCCTGCTGCTTCATGTTTTGTCTGTGCTCTCTGACTACTGATTGTAATTAAGTTTTTATTGTAGATTATTTTCCTAGTGCTAAATTGACTACTTCGTCCTTTCACTCTCTCATCTTGCCTCATAACTGCCACTCAGAGCACTTAATCACAAAAGATAACTGAATCATACTTGAGTCTTAGTGCTTACATCTGTGACTTTGTCATAAAGAAAAACATGCACAAGAAAACTTACTGAGTGAAACAGTGATGTACTGATTATTCATTATGACATGGCACACTCAGTCAAATCTTTTAGTGATTGTCTCTGTGGGTAGAATTATACTGATACAGACACCTGTGCTGACATGTCTTGTTAGAGTGCTACTTTTGGTTCCTCTTGCAACAGCAAGAAGTTAAAGCAAAGAACTCCCACTGGAATAGTATTCTCCCATTTAACTTGCTGTCTAATTACTTTTCTTCGTGGAGAAGGTTTTAAGGCATCTGTTAGAGATGGCACAGGGCAATCTATTTTGTTACAGGTAAGAGAGTACCAAATGCATCATTCATTTCTCTGCTTAATGCGTTAATACTGCAGTAATTAGGTCACCCTTTCCATGAAAAGGAATTAAAAGATGCTGGCTTTGTACTGACTAGGCTTTGTTACTGAGGCAGCTAGATTTGGCAAGTCATAGTATGTAAGAAATGAACAGCTGAAAAGTTTACTGCTTTAAGGATATTCAGAACAGCATCAGGGTGTCTTGTACTACTGGACCCACCTTTGCGGCAGTGGAGTCTTAGTCCACTGCTGACATTGCCAAGTGACGTCTACAGAGCAAAATATGGAATCAAAACTGATTTAGGAGCCAAAGGCCACTTAGTAGTTTTGAGCACACAGGGTTCAGTAAACTTGAAATGTTACTGACTTTCTAACTGATTCTCTAGACAGATATACTCGTAGTAAGCAATTGTAACACACCTTGTCCTTTCTCGTATGATGATCTAGATGATCTTAACCCTTAAGTTCGGTTAAAAAAAAAAAAAGTTCTAGGTCCCCCAGTGACAGACAAAAAATTAAATTCTTTAATTTATTGGAAGTTTCCTTTCTTTCAGCAGTTGTCACCAAATGTATTAATTTCAAGACTTGCTCATCTGAGAGTGGTTTTAGTGCCTAGTCTTTACTATGTAGATTTCTGCCTGTGCTTGCCAGAGTAGATTAAGTCTCATAGCTCAGCAAATTACAGTACCAGTCTTTTCTCTGCACTAGCCCCCATGGCTGTAGTTTTACAGAAGATGCTCCAGTTAATACATCGTGGCATGCAGCTCTCAGTTCAACCTTGTTAATTTTTTTTTTTTTAAACTGCATCAATAATTGCAATACTAAAAAAAATGGATTTGTTGGATTGAACAGCAGTTAACTTCTCGGTGCTGGAGAACCATGTTACACAAGGATTAATTGAGGGTGTATGTTTAGGCAGTTTATTTCCTATGCCTTGCAAGTAACACCTTATCTTGACTAGCGGTACATGTAGAACAATTGCTACAGCATCTTCTTTCTGTCCCCTAGCACCCGTTGCCACTGGCTGTTAAAGACAGCTAAATGCTCCTTGCCTTTCATTTGGGCTCCAGTAGTTTCCCCTGTGCACAATGACAGGTTAATCCTCTATGAAAGCTTTTTTTGGAGGATTTAAGTTCAGTTCAAATGCTTTTGCTAACACATGTAAGTCTACCATGTTACTTCAGCCTTTTTTTATAAAGTTATTTGCTTTTTAAAAAGGAATTTTACATAAAAGAAACAGACTTATTTACAAATGAGTTTTTTACTTGTTTGAGAGACAGTGGTCTTTATAGCAGTATGATTAGCCTTCCTGTTCCTTTCCTCTGAAATGTAGCAAAAGGAGCTAGTCATGGCAGCAGAATCCTTCCAAGTGAAACAAGCAGACTACCTTTTGGTCTGTGTCATGGGTTACCTGAGGAAGAAGCGCCATTTTATGAAAAACGATTAAATATTGGCAGCCAAGCAAGCTAATAAAAGGTGAGCTTCAAGCAGCCCAATGAAAGAGCAAACGGTTTATCCTGAATTCTTTTGGCGGTCAGTGAAGCCTAATGCCTTCACAGAGCAAAAGTGCTTAATAGAGAGAAACTCAGCTTAAGATTAGAGGATGTAGATAGCTATCCTTTCTATTAGGCTATCTTTAGGATGTTGGTAGTTATCCTTTTTGGGCCTCACAGAGCAGAGATGCTCCACAGAGAGAAACTCAGTTTAAGATTAGAGGATGTAGATCTCTGTCCATTTCTTTAGGCTCTGTTTCTTGATTTCTGCCTTTTCTTTTCCAAGCTCCCTTACTATTTCAAGTGTGAGGCCTCTAGGCTAATGGTAAAAGATGTAACCGTTCATTTTTGCATAGGGAGACTGTTCCACCAAAAGTAGCGTGTCAGTCTGGACCATTCAAAGCATATTGTGATAGCAAAATGATCTGTCTATAAATAAGATTTCTACATCTTGCAGTTCTGGGTCCTAAACAATTAACTAGCGTTATTCACAGATCTGCGCTTTGTAGATCGCTCTTGTGGTGGTGTTCTAAAAATAATTTGCATTAAAAACATCCTCCAATTGTCTGTACTCTATTTTCTGTACTGTCTTGGCTTGAAGAGCAATTTAGCTCGAAAGACATGAATAATGTTGATATCTTTTCTTCCCTAGTGTCTTTAAAAGTCTCAAGGGTTCCAGTTTCTTTTGGATCTCTATTATTGTAATGATCAGCTTGTTAAATCTTAAGATCTTTTTTTTTTTTTTAAATATTGGGAGTTAAGCATGTGTTTAAAAACAGTCAGTTTAGCCACTAACCAGTCTTCTTAGTGTAATTACTTAGCTTTCAGTTTCTTTAATATAATGGTGGGGTTTGGGTTCATTTTGCAGAGATCTGAAAAAGACAAGATAAATATCTGATGCTGGGACGGAAGAAAGCTTTCCACTCCTACACTCAGGAAAAAGAAGTAGCCCGCACCAATTTTGTTCTTCCTCGCTGCTTTTGCAGGTCTATTAAATGTCTTCATTTAGTGGCATCTGATAATACTAAATAAATGCTCTGACATTGTTGCTTCCAAATTTGTGACTTAACTGCAGTAAGTTTACTGAAGGCTTTTTAACTGGAAAATGACTTACTGCAGTTGAAATATTTGCAGAAACAATTTTCCAAATTACTTCTATGTAATGACAGCCCCGTTCTCTGGCTGGAAGGTTAGTACATCCTTTGGCAGTAAATAGGAGAAGCTGCCTCGTAATCTCTACAGTATTTTCTTTCTTAATCCCATCTACAGATCTGGTACTTTTTTGACCATGCTTCTCATTGTATGGAAATAAGTTGTCTTAAATGTGGGGAGGACCCAAAACTGCAGGCAGTATTCTCAATATGATCTTACCAGCCCTGAGTAAAGGGGATAATTTCTCTGTACAGGCTAATGCACTTCTACAACATGGAAGAACTGGATCAGAGACAGTCAACGAATCTAGGAAGTTCATACAGTTTGTCTGTATTATTTTAATTAAGCTGTGAATTTACTTGCCAGAAGATGCTGTAATTGTGGTTGGCTAAATTTGTGCAATGATACTTTTTGAACATACGTACATTTTATCTGTCGATTACTATTCAATACAAAGGTATTACCTTGGATGTAGGAAGTCCTTGAATGGCATATTACTGGAAGGTGAGAATGTCTCTTGTAGAAGTATCAGTAAATGTTTGCTTTGATTTTGTGTGGTTTGTTTCTTTTGGTTTTGTGGTTTTTTTTTTCCTTTAGTGCTTGGCTGGAGACAGGATTCAGGACTAGGGACAGTTTAGGCTTCTATTTAACTCTTTAACTTTTCTATATGATGGAGGAAATAACTACTTGTGAACATTCCTGTTTATGTTGAACAGGAAAGGAAATTGCATTTAGTTATGAGATGCATATTCAAGTATCTTTTGCCCAAACAACATAATAAAAAAGGGAAGACATTACCCACAAGGAATTTCAATACTTAATGCAGCACTGGGGAAAAAGGAGGGAGAAATTCTGCTCTAAGTTGCAGAAGTCTTTTACAGCCTCCATTGTCCAGATACTCTTCAACGCAAGCATTCTCAATGAAATATGACAGTAATAATAAGCTTATTGTCCAGAAACTGGCTGCACTACAAAAGACCAATCTTGACCATAATAAGAGGAGACAGACCAGTTGGTTTTAGAAAATTGACTACATTCGTAAGTCATCTCGTTCACTTGAATCGCACCTTTTTCTTGCCTGCGTCCCTCTTCTCAGTTCTCCTCAAGGTCTAATGCGCAGCAAGAAATTCCAGTGTATTACTACCAATTTATTCTCTCTTAATCTACATGTGAATCCTTATTCCTATAGGCAACTTGTTAGCTCTGTTAAATAATTACAAAGGTATTTTTATGAGACAGCAATAGCTGGTTCACTGGCGCCAGTAGAACACTGCTTTTTCTACACTTTAGGAAACCAGGCCCTAATGGGATATTCCTGGAACTTCTCTTAGTGGTGATGTACCAACACCAATCATGTTTTGTTTGCAACTGCTGAAATCTCTGTCTGCTTTTGGTAGCTAAAGCTGATCTAGCACTGGAATTTTTTTTTCTGTCTTTTTCCCTCCCGAGTCAAAATATACCCTTTCTATTGTGCATATATTGTAAATTTTTTAGGAGTCTCTGCATTTTCATTACAAATATACTAGTCTAATACTGTCATGCTCCGAGGTATGAGAACTATGGAGTTTTTACAGTATTTCTTGATCTGGCGTGAAGCGACCCCTTAGGAGTAAGCAGTAGCCTTAAAATATCTCCTTGTGGAGCTCTTTGTTTGTTTGTTTCTCCTTAGCTTTTCTGTTGTCTAACTTCTTAATCTCCCTTGAGCCACTATGCTTCTAGTTGCGCTGTTTGCAGCAGTGATGCTTTGAGATGTACTCTTGCAGATTCTTCATGTGGAACTGAAAAAATGTTAGCTCTTAAAATTATTTGTTTTGCTTACAGAAATGAACTGCAAAAAAATAAGAATTTTTAATTCTTACAGAGGGATTTTCATATGGAAGTATCCTAAAATGCTTAACAAAGCCACTAATTGGTGCGTAAGCTAACAAAAACGGACATGTGTAGGGAGAAATATGGAAGGTATTTAGCAACAAGAAACAAGGAAATATGTCCTGTCAACCATGATTTTTTTTTTTCGTAATGAAAGAACCTATCTTAGTTCTCAGAGCCATGGATGGCATTTGTATGTGTGGATATTATAGGGAAAAATACTGAATTGGTAAACTGATTTGGCAAATATTTATTCATTTTTAGTATTTAGAGTAGAACAGTTGAATACAATCTGAGATAAAGAGGCGCTGACAGAGCGTGAAGGCTTTAACCTTTTAAGTACCTAGTAAATATCAAGAAAACCACTGATCATCCTTATCAGTAATCAGTGCCTAAGCAGATGATTTTTGGGAGGTAGGTGGAGGAGAAAATCATTAAGAAGCAACAGCCTGCCACAAGATTGTATCCCTATCCTCATCCTCTCTTCCCATTGAGCAAAAGATGTTGCTCATTGTGTGGAAGGAGACGAGAGGAACTTTCTTTGACTTACTTTACTTGATTAGCCTCCCTGCTAATACTGTTGTCTTCTAGCAGTCGTTGAGGTGGGGGTTTTATGAAAACTACAATAAGGCAACATCTGATCCTATCATTTGTTACTGCACACACTGAAGTAAGTTGTGTACACCTAGAGACTGAAGGCTTTTCTTCCAGAAGAAAATCCTGGTTATATACTTCATTGCCTAGATAAATAAATGATGCAGTGACCCTTGCAGGTGCAAATGGTAGTTTGTAGTGTTTTAAAGCAGACATACATGATATAAGTTATGATTCTAATCAGGCAGCTTTTCTAGATGGCATCATAGTTTTCTCCATGGCAACGCTTTGCAGATGTGCTCGGCTGGCTTTGTTGCCATGCAAGATTCACAGCAGGGACTGCTGGTGTGGAGTTCCACTGTGTGGAATATGTGTCCTTTTCTTGGTCGCTATTACCCTTCAAAACTCCCTGCTGTTAAGTCCTCTGTAGGCTACCTACCACAGTTTTTATTGAAGACATCTACAGCCGAGTTTTAAAGCTGACTTCTAATCTAACTCATTTTTCCTTTCTATTTTACATAGTCTCATCCAGGTCTGTCCTTTAACCCACAGAAACGAGAGTAATTTTTGTTAAAACACTAAAATCTTTTAATTAAATCAACCAGCTTGGGTTTTTTTGGCAGGTATGGTAAAACTCAAACCCCATGCTTGACCTCTATAGACTTTTGCCTTAAAAATGCTTATCAGATGCTGGAGCATCTGTAGAAGTAAAAAGGCTTTTCTTGAATGCGTTAGTGGAATTCTTAGCAGCTCACACATGCTGTGCATTGGCTTTTGTGTGGCTTTTAGACGGTCTTCAGAGGATGAAATACTTCCTGAAAAAGCTAATCTTTATTTTAATAATGTAGGTTTGTGGCCAAGTGACACAAGTATGTTGTCTCTGGAAAGTAGGGCTTTCTCTTTTGATCTGAATTTTTGTGACGGGTGACAGACTTCTGTGCTCCGAGTTACTTCAGTTAACTAAAATGCTCATTAAATTCTATAGAGTATAAGGAATTTAATGAAGGAGCACATTAGCTTTGAACTCTGTTGAATTTTGGTATTGTTTGTTCTTTGTCAATGATATCCTTTATCAATTTGCTTATTAAATAATTTAAAAAAAAAAGGTCAATTTTATCACAGGTCCTTGGATATATATACTGAACGTGCATGGCTAAGATATTTTTTTCCAGTGACAAATTTCATACTTATCCCAACAATGTATTATTTTCCTTTCTGGAAATAAAGTGACATTCAGCAACATTGATTGCTGCAGACTGAATCCGAGAGCTTCAGGATGAAAATGCATGAGGCACTGCATTACCGGTTAGAAAACTTGTGTTCTCTGAGAACTGCTCAATAGGACGGGAATTAATCCCAAACTGAATTGTGTACACACATCCCATAGAGCACAGAAGGCTTCAAGTATTCTGCTAGAGATTGAGGTGGAGTGAAAAATACTTTGAGATGGATTTTTTTTAACCTTTTTTATAAAGTTGTTAATTTTGGTTTCTTAATATCTTAACTCTTACTGTTCACTAAGCACAAACTTTAATTATTACAAGCTTATTAGATACTGGAATGGTATTTTTCACATTGTATGCTTGATTTGCCAGGATGCAGTGCGGTGAAATCTTCGTTCTTGATCTCCAAACTCATTAAATATAGCAGCAGAATATAGAAATACTTAATGAAATTATTACAATGCAGGTCTTCTGTGAAATACTTCTGCTCTGCTCTGAGAAAAGTGTTGTGTCCTATTTTCATCCTGTTTTTTTCCATTTAATTGCTTCCAAGAAACTGTTTAACTTAATAAGTAAAATGGACAAATTTCAGATAGTAGTTTTATTAAAAAGTAGAAATTTTAGATGAAGCAGAATAAGTTTTATGTTGTTCTAAATTTGGCAAATACTTCTATTTGAAATTTTACCTTGACTTTCATTCTGACTCCAAGAAAAAAGATTTTTTGGAGAAAGAAAATGAAGATAATTATTTGTATGGTACTCCTTCCTGGCTAACATACCTGTTTTTTCTCTGCTAGGTTGAAGACTGACAAAGCTTTGCGTTTGAGTATCATTGGTGAGCAGAAACTTCTGTAACTGAATACAGTACTCAACTTTTTAGCATAGATTTTAAGTTTTACCAACTTTATAGATACTCTAGTTAGAGTTTCGTTCTCTATAATCTGACCCTGTAATCTTAAAATAGACTTTGTTGAAATGCTAAAATACCTGACATAGTCATTCAAGTAGTATATACAGGGTGAACTTGGGGCTGAGTATAGCCTAATCTTTAGTCAGTGCATGTGACAACAGGGCAATATAGACCAAACGTCTGTTTTGTACAGCTGTACGTGTATTTATTGTACTTGTCTCCATGCTTTTTTTAATCGCTTGTAAAAGAGGATGATATATGTAGGTCAACAGACACATTGTGCTAGCAAGTAAATTCAAAATTTTGGGACACAACCTGGAATATTTTTTTCTCTTTCATATGATTGATACTGTACCTTTTCAATTTAATCTGTTTAAAAATTGTGATGATCAGAACTCTTGCTCAGCCATTGTGTTGGGTTTTTTTTCCCCCCTTGGGGCCTTCCTAAGTTTCCATCTTAAGCAATTGATCCAGTGATATTTTAAATAAAGCATAGCATTTTTTTTCTGTAAGGAAGACATAAAATACATCTGAGATGGTGTGAGAATGTTTCTATTACAGCTACCTTCATACCTGGTACACACAGTATCGGTGAGTCTATGATGCTATTCAAAATCTTGAAAAATGGGGGGTTATTTAAAAAATGTTGAAGAATTTTGATCTGTGTTGATGCTACAGTGATGATGTAATCATTAATGTTAAGTTTATTCTTGTAGGAGAAAAATTGCAATGGTTTCAAAGTCACCTTGACCCCAATAAAATTGAGTACACGAAGAAGGAAGCTGGTGAACTAATTGAAAAGTAAGACTGGTGTTAAAAACAGGATGAAAAAGCTTGATTTGTCTTTTAAAATAATGTTCTTAAGATCTGTAAAGTGGTGACTCAGAGAAGGACTTTTTATATATTACTATTAATATCAAATAGTTGATTTTGTTGCAGCTGACGTTAATTATGTATTGAAAGATGTATATATTCACACTAGAATTACTGAAGTCAGTCGTGTTGTTTGGGGCTTTTTTTATTATTTAAGTATATGTCTGCTTTTGTAGTGTGTGGAGGACTGATTTGCACAGTAGTAATTGCATGAATTTGCTAGTCAGGTTATTCAGAGACACTTAAATACACAGATTTCATTCTACTTCTTCATTCTTTAATTTTCTTTGCTGAGGTTAAACAGTACTCAGGTGGGTCAATTTTTAGGGCAGAAAATATCAAAATTGAATCTGCTAAGAAGCAACTCAATTATTTCTGTGCTGCTGAATGTATGTACCTGTAGCTTGTCACAATTTTTCACCTGCTAGCTAAATAACATAATATGTATGTATTCTTACACAGGTGTACTATATCAGTTTCCTTTCAGAAGCTCTGACATATTTCCTACACTTCATGAAACCTGTAAACTGCTAATCAATGCTAGGGATACTGCAAAGGCAATAAAGGCTTACTTTTTGGATTTGGGTTAGGCGTTTGTGAGATGATGTAGAACACATGCCAGAGAAGAACTTTACTTTAAAAATTATTATTGAGGTGGTGAAATTCAGCAGTTAAGTTAGGAATACTTAGATTTAACACTGGTCTTCCAGAGCAGGTGAGTTATAATAATGTGTTTGTTTTTTTGTTTTGTGTGTTTGTTTTATGCAAACATAGTTTAAAAAAAAAAAAGGCAAATAAAAAAACCAGTCCTTCTGTAAGCCGCAGATGATTCAAATGAAGTTCTAAATGGAGCTTCCACTTTGAAGATGAAAGTAATAGTTCAAATCTAAGAAACATCTCTGACTAATTTAGAAAATAAATACAATTAGTAAAATAACTTCTTAGATTACTAAAGTAATTCTGTTTTGCAAAGGTTTTGCATGATTCCATCTAGCATAAATGCATTTTATTTCTTTCAGTTATATGTGTCGATTTAATGCTGAATTGGAGCAGATTGAATTACAAAACAGTATTAAAGGTAGACAAGGAAGACAGCATGGTTCACGGGAGACTGTCATCAAGCAGACCATAGAACGTGAAAGACAACTCTATGAAGGCTATGGAATAGGTATGTAAAAACATTAGAAATAATCCTGTTGTCACATCTTCTCCTCCTGCTCACAAGGCTAGAATCTAAGTGAAATTTCTAGGCATTATCTTTATTTTTCTCTTCAAAGGAATTAACTAACTGCTAGGTATTTATGCCTTGCGGAGGAGTTTGGGAGAAGGGGCAGGGTGAAAAAATGGGAAAAAAGATGGTGGAGATCTGGCTCATATTTCTGCTTTACTACTTTGCCTTTGTGCATCTTTGCTAGTCCTGCCTCAGTGCAGGCATATATAACATATTTTTGAAACTAAAGTGGGATTTAATGCACCTGTCTCAAATACAGATTCTGTTCAGCAGCTTGCTTGGACCTTCATTATATACAGAGTATTTTTTATCTTAAAAATGCACTTTAGTGGGTGTGCATGTTTTAACATGCATTACCATGAAGACTTTATTTGCTCATGTGGGGAATAACCAACATCACTTTCTCTACAAATAAATTACTTTTTTTAGGTGGGCTTTGTTATCTGGACTTGTGCCAATGAAGTTTTTATACACAGCTTTCTCTAACATTCCTTTGATAATATATAAACTTACTGTTAGGGATAAACCTGTGGCCTGACTTGCCCCTTTCCACTGAGGTGGACCCAGTGGCATGAGGACTTCATCAAGTTTCATGTCATGAGAGAGAGGGGTCTTTAGGTTTCATGAACTCAGAGAACCAAAGCCTCTGAACTCGTGGGCCTAAAACATCTTCAGAAAGAGACTCTTCATTCCACTAAGGTTGAGATGTGCTTCCTGTGGGAGAACGATTGCAGCAGAAATTGTAGTACAGATGTATTTCCAAAATGTGAGTATTTCTGGAGTTTTCCTATTAAAATTTAGGTAATCCAGGAAGAAATCCTGGGCTATTTTGACACATTTACTCTACAGGCTCTTTTGTACGGGCATGAATGATAACCCGCAAGTAGAAAAACACATTTTTCCCTCTCGCTCTTCTCAGGCAGAGGAGCTATGCTCCTTTCTTTGACTTACTGGAGATGGTGGCGGAGGGAGTGGAAGTGCTCTGTGTGTGTGAAGGCCCTAACACTTAACCTCTTAATAAGCAAAAACCCACAAAAACTCCAAAGACTTAAAATTAAAAATCGTGTAGATAGGAGCCTAGTTGAAAGCAGTTTGAGTTTTTAAACATTTACTTTGGCCATTATCACAAGTTTGAATAAAATCATAATGCCAGATATTCTCGTTGACTTTATTACCATTTATCTTTATCTGGGGTAGCCATCTATGCCAGCAGATTATCTCATGAAATCTGAGGAGCATCATGTGTGAAAACCACAACATAAGCATCGGAGCTGAAAATTTCCTCTTACGGTGCATAGTTGTCTTTAAGAAGAAACACTTAAACTCTTTTTGAAAGTACTTTTGGTTTTGGAGGTAGCACACAGATGCAGGCTACGTGTGAGAAAGAAATAAAAGACTGAAAATTTGGTAGCTGGAACTAGGCTGAAGTGAAGCAGCAGTGATCTGGTGAAATAAGGGAGAAAGACAAAGGGATAATGAAAGTGCAAAAAACAGTTGTTTTGAGGAGAGTCAAGTATAAAATAGTAGTGAAATTTCTGTATTTTTCTGTAACAAATAAGCATGTTGGAGTTGAGTGATGAACTTGGCTTTAATGCTAAAGAATTAATCAAAGGCAGTCAGTCCTAACAGTGAAAGTACGTCATGGAAGACATGAAAAACCTTCATTGTTCTGTGGTTAGGATACAAAGCATGGCAAGGTTTGGGTCGTGTGTCATATTCCCTTTCCCCCCAGTTTATATTTTACCAACAAAGAAAATGAATGGCTCTAAAAATTTTGCCAGCATTACTTAGTATTTTCACATCCTGCAATGGCAGAGGAATTCAGGAATAGCTGTGTGACTTCATGTGTAATCTTTTATTTCTTAAAAGGGGGGGGAAAAAAGTCATAGAAGGTAGATACTATGGATGTCATCAAATAGCTCAATTGTAGAAAATCTCCTTTTTGGTTTTGCTTTTAAATTTTAAGTTAATTTAATTTAAAGTTAAATTTTAGTTCTTCTTTTTTTCCCCCTACTGCTTTGTGGAAAGGTGACAGAAAAAAAGCAATAGGATTAGAAAGAAAGAGTCAAATGCACAAGCACAACATAAAAATAAAGAAGAATCCAGAAATATTGTAAGCAAAATTTGAGGTTATTATAGTATTAGTAAGTAAAGCATTCAGAGAGCATGGTGCAACTTCACATATTAAATATGCTCTCAAATCATTCATTATTTGTTGTCACAGCTGCTGCAGGTTTTTGCTCTCTGTCTAGGACAGTATTCATTCAGAGAAAATAGTTGCCGCTAAATACTGTAATTAGAGATTGGGGATAAATGGAAATCAGCTGGAAACTGCTTTTATGCTCTAGCTCATTATTATCCCTGGAAGCTGTAGTGAAGGGAGCTTTTATAACTGACTTAGTATTTGTTGAGTTCCGTTCCCCCCCCCCCATTCTTGAACTTCGTTATTTCTTGTATGCATGTGCATTTGCTATGAAGAGACTACATGATACAAATTGTTTACATTCAGGAAGGTCTCCTAAAATTCGATGCCGTGTATATATATAAATCAGATATACCTAAATGAAAAATTAATTCTTCTTTACTGGCTGTTTACAAAAGTGGTAGATATCCAAAGGCATGGTAAATTTTAATCTTTTTTTTTAAAAGTAGTACCTATGCAGGGAACATGCAGTCTATCTGCGAGGATGTTGAATTTTTTTAGCAGCTACTTGTCACTTCCTTACGCCTTATATGTATCTACATTAATTTTACTGTGGTTTTCTTCCTGATGTTGTCATTTGTGTGTGTTTGTTTTTTTAATCGTCTTACATGTTTATAGCAAAACTATTGAAAGGGAATCATAGATATTTACAGGATATACCCTTGGAACTCAGAATTAGCATGCTTTCAGTTGAAAAGCATCATAATTATTTCATCTGAACATCACACATTTTTGATAATTTGCTTCTAATTACCTTGCATGTTCTCTCAGAAGCATAATGTTAATCTTGGGGAAAAACGGCCTTAAAAGCTAAACGCATCACTCCTATTAGTTAATTCTTGAAACTTGAGGATATAAAGAAATTGATTTAATTCAGATGAAAGTTGTATCATTTAAATGTATCTGCTAGTGTAACTACTGTACTGTTTGTTAGCTGCTGTTTTCTGTAACGATCATTATTGTGTAACTGAATGGTTCTTTATCTAAAGAGCTTCTAGACTTTCTAACATCCTTTTCCTTCTCTAACTTCAGGCTGCAATATCATCCTTTAACCTGACTTGGGTGTTTCTCTGTATGACAGTTCTAATGGATGTGATATATATGCAGTCTATATGCTGTGCAGAGCACTGTCAGAGCAGTGATGTTTCAGTCCGTGTGAGATTTAGGTAAATCTCATGTGCAAATCTTTGCTTTGGGAGAGAGAAATGGTTACTGCTATGAAGAATGATGATGTTTTTATTAACAGCATACTTCTGGAAGGAAATAAAACATCTCGGCAGACTGTCACAGAGCACTTGGTTAAAAAGTAGTGCTGTGGGACAGAGCTCCAGAAGGGCGCTCTGACACTGGGATTGGCTCCTCTATCCCCTTTTTCTCTAGTTATGCTTTAGAAGCCCTCCAGTCCAAGCCTGTGGACACAGGCAGGATTGGTTAGACCTACAGCTGACAGAAGCTTTTTACTTCTGATGCCCATCAGAACTTTGAAGTAATCTGGTCCAGTGCTTCTCTATCCGAGCAGTGGGAAAGGTGCTGACTTTACAGTATTTATGCAAGTTTTGTGTTACAAATTAAGCTTTGTCTTTTTCCTTGTCATGAAATGGTGTTAAGCCCTAACATCCTCATGACAGAGTTTGAGAGCTAACATGCTGTTTGTTCTTCCTCAGAAGAAAGATAGGAAAATAAAACATTATCTGAAAGGGTCAGAAACATGAAAAAAATGCTTACTTAAATTTTTCACTGCTGTTTCATTCTAACACATATGTTACCGAATACTTCATCTTAGAAATGCCAGACAGTGTCTGCTCCCCAAAATACTGTCTTTGTTTCTTTTCCACTAACCCCTGTGCCCTATTTCTCCATCTTCCATTTTTTCCATCTTTAGTTCAGAAAACACTCTCCTGTGACTTAACATTTTTAAAGCAAACTAAGAAGTTCACAAGTAGCAGCAAAAAACACGACACTGGTGCATGCTAAGGAGATACTTCTGAGTCAGACAAGTGCTATTAATCTTGTCATTTATTCCTGGTTCGTCTGAGAATAACACTGAACTGTGTGTTGGGTCAGTGCTTTGCTAGAAGGAACAAATAGAAATCTCAGCACATTTCTGGGGCAGTTGGCCCAAATTAGCATAGTGCTACTTCTGCCACACTCACTGGTTACATCACTAAGCTCTGTCCTAGGAGAAAACAGAGTAGGCATTGCTCCTTGTACAATATCTGAGAGAAGGGAAGAACTTCTTTCTCTCATGTGGTGGCTAGAACATTTCAGCATTTGGCACTGTGCTGCCAAGAGTGCAATTCAAGCGACTACAAAGAAAGCAAGAGGGACCATGGCTTTGTTTCAATGCTTAGTTGGGAAGGATGGACCTAATGTGGCATTGATGTTTATCAGAACCCAGGAATCAGCAGACAAGAAAAGGATTAGGTATATGTTTCTTTGCCTTGCCTTGATCAACTGTGAGCAGTATTGCTGTATCTATTTACCAAGAAGCAGGCTGCAGCAATCAATGTAACTGGTATTAAAAACTGTTGAGTATATTATTGTTCTTCAGTTGGTAACTTTGTAACCCAATGTGAAGGGAGGAAATAATTTCTGAATAATAAAGACTATCTGGCCACAAAGATAGTGACAGGCACCATCATCCTACATTCTGTAGTAGCAAAATCATCTATAATCCTGCATTGATAACATTATCTGATTTATTACTGTAAGACTCGGGAAAATCGATAGATGAACAAAGGCAGAACTGTATGTTCAGGGTTTGCTCAAGGATGGTATAAGAAGTTCCTGAAATGTCATGTTTTTAAGAGCTAAAATAGTAGAGTGGATTTAACATTACAGAGGTAGCAAGCAGTCATCTTTGTTGAGCGACCTGTCGCTGGGAAATCTGTACACTTCATAGACAGCAATAAGGTATTTTATATTGTGCAAAAATTTCAAGGCTCCTAAGGCATAAATCTCTACAAATTAGTGAAGATGTTAAACATAGGTCACTTGTAATACTTCAGGACTGACCAAGAAAAGAATGACACTGAGTCAAGACAAAGCAGCTTAGGCATCCTAGGTAAAATTCTGCATGAGTTTATAAACTACATATCTAGTAGGAATGTTTTGGCTACTCCAGGAGGGGGGGCGGGGGGAAGGTCTGTCCCACAGGTCTCCATACAAGATGTTTGCCTTCCTTTTTACTACCAAAGGTAATAAACATTTGTAATGAGTATATGTCACTTATTTCTGTTAGTGAGGAAGACTGAAAACTTTCAGTCATTAAAACTATTGATGTTTGTTTCTGTTCAACTAAGAGGAACATCAGCTCATGAGAGGAGATAGGTGCCAACAGTCTATATAAATATTATGTTGCATTTACTGCAGTATTTAACAGGCATTTCAGCAACCACGGAATGCTAGTCTCCCAGTATTGAGTAGTTTGTAGAACAGGTATTTAACAATGGAAACTATAATTGCATTGGAGTAAGGCTGATTGCTATCAGATAGCCATTCTTTGCTCTCAGGCTGTCTCATGGCAAGTGGAGAGAAGTAGCATTATATTCCAAAATCCAAGAATATGTTCTATTTAAACACCTGACATCTTACTGTACTCTTCCTAGTGTTTATATTTTAAAAACACACACACATATATATACTCTTGTACTGCATGGTAAATTTTTTGAAGTGTATTTAACTGTTTGTTACATTTTCTTACTTGAATTATCGGAGTTACTTTCCTAACTCTACTGCTGATCTGTCTTGCTTGCAGTGGTGACTTAAGTGCTTTGAAATTTTTTTCCAAAAACATATCAAAATACTTACAGACCACTTAGTACTCATTAATTTAGAGTGAGGCTTGTATATTTAGGTCAGCTTTGAAACTAAGCTTTCCTATTTTACCTTTTATTTGTTGTGCATATTTATAGTAAGTTTTGCAGAGCAGAATTGTCTTTTTATTATGTGGGTGAGTGAATGTCTGTTAACAACTAGCATAACCAGACCTTGATCTTGGTTGAGGGTGTTAGTTGTGCTTTTAAAACAAATAATAAATAAATTATTTCCCTTGTTTCTTCACTGGACTTTTTTAAAAGAAACTTTAAGTGCTTAAAATTTTGCTATTTCTTGGATGTGTCAGTTTAGAGAAAACGAAGCATTCTCTTTTTATTATTTGTCAGGATTGGATTTTCAGTAACTGGTACATTTGAATTCTGGAACAGTTGTAGGTGTAAGTTCCCCTCCTTCTCTTTAGCAGTGAGAGCTCTTCCTGTTTATATATTGCTCTAGAAACTTTCTAATACGAATCCTCATTCTCATTTTCTTGGTATTCTAATCCCTGAAATAATATGTTCAGCCCTTTAACTCACATTTCTTTCTTTGAAATGAGACTCACTTGAATAATGTAACACATCTAATAGAATTTAATTTCTTTCCAATTAGAAATCCCAGACATTATGAACAGAAAGCATCTTAAATTTTTCAGGTAAGTTCTTTTTTTTTTTATCGCTACTAATCTGTTTATGCAAAACAGTGTTTCTGAATTTGACATGTTGTATGTCTTTTTTCTTAAAAAAGAATTTATGCAAAACTGTCAAAGAATTTGCCATTTGAAAAAGCAGACTAGGTATGGAGTTGCTATTTTGGCATTTCTTAGCTGTTACAAGCTAAACGCAGGTGACAGTTAATCATTAAAACATTGGAAGGATTAGAAAGCTTCGACAGTTAGAATTCCATTTCTGTAACTTAAGCATCTTTTTTTGATATTATTAGAGAATATTTTCTCTTTACCTAAAATTCTCACCTCAGCTGTTCACTGAATTGGTTTACACAAAAAGGATTAGCATTTGTTCATTTGTTTACACAAAAAGGATTAGCGTTTACTGTTAGTGTTTAAGGATCAAGACGTAGATTTATTGATAAATGGAATTACACTGTTTTCTTACCTGAAATGAGATTTCAGATGGTAATTGTAGTCATATAACATAGTGACCTAAGTTATTTATAGTCAGAACTTATCATTAAGCAACTAAAACAGCACTAAGTTTTTAGTCATGCATTCTAAGATCCAACTCTAGGTGTAATACAGTCTGCAGCAGTGTTTGTGTGTAATACTAGTTGAAAATCTTAAGTGAATTGATGACTTGCATCCAGTTAAAAGATCTGGGAGCTGTGAAGCTTGCTGCTAGCTCATCTGGGGCAGCAAGCCAATATGCCTTGGTAATGGACTGCATGACCACTCTTGCTGACAGCTCTGTCAAATGAGATACTTTAAAGAAAAAAAAAAAAGACTTAAGAATGCGTATGTTGCCAGGAATGATATACCACCAACTCCTAGGGGCGGTATGCAGCCAGAAGTCATACTTACAGGATGTTGGAATAAAGCCAGAAATCTCAAAGAAGAGATAGGCCTCTGGCTGCTGTGTTTATAAATGCACAATTGACTTCTTGTACTGATGGAAGTGTTGTTTTATTACCCGGGTAGTGCAAAACCACATCTGTCTTACAATTGGCAAATACTGTCTTTGCCCTTGAGAAAAATTATCCATGAAGTGCACTTACTATAAGCAAGCAAGCATTCTATTAATTGAGTACTGGGTTTGACTTGTGATATTTAAATGAACCCTTCCTCCTTCATGGAGTCTTTTGAAATAATATACTTATGTGAGTTAATGTTTACTAACATTTTGTGTCCCCTTGAAGTCATACAACACGTTAACAGTTACCACAAATCATAATTAAGGACTTCATGTTACACGTACACTAGCTCTGCAAATTGAGCATCCAGATGAAGAAACTTCCAAACTGCTTTTCCATTGCTTACAAGACTGGGAGTTTAGTGTGTCAAACCTAAAAGCAAGTGGCCTAAAGTAACTGAGGGTACAAATAGTCTGTGGGAATAAAGTGAATTTTTTTTGTTCAGAATGTCAAACCTGAAAGTACTTAATTCTTCACAGAGAAATAATAGCTGTTGTAGTGTACAAGATCAGGTGAAAACGTTGGTGCTTATTTATACTGCAGTGGGACTGGTAGTATTATTTAGAAAAGCAGCCTCACTTGTGTTAGCATCTTCTGAGGAAAGGTGAATTAACGCTGTCATTCCTTCTTGCTATTTCTATTGGTAGTTGTTTTCCATTACTTTTTTTTTCTTTAAGAGAATGGGATGGTGATCTGAGGAAACTGCCAAACATCAAAATGAAAAAGCTCTCAGCTAGGGATGCTGCTGGCAGTCACCCTGAGGTGGCAGATACGGAAGCTGAAGAAGAATTGAATAAAGCAGAAGAGGTGGCCTAATGAGCACCAGCTGATTCAAGAGCTGGAACAGCTGAAGGGAATTGTAAGAAACCTGTTTTAATTATCACTGGAAACAAGAATAAATTCTAACTATATTTGCAAAGGCTTTGCTAGTTGCATTTTTTATAAGCTCACTGTGTACCTATAGTAAAGAGTAAACAGTATATTATTGGGTAAAGCTGTATGCTGTTGGATAAAAAATTTTGAATATAAATAAATAGTTAAAATCTTAATTGTGTCCTTACTTCTCATATGGTACCTTCTCTTTAGGATGCAGGCTCCTGAGTTGACAAAGCAATTGTAGTTTATATCTTGAAATCCTGACTAGCTGAGTACCTCTTCCCTGGTCATAGAGCAGTCAGGGTTCAGACACCTGTTAGAAATACCTTGTGGTGGGAAATCCTTACGTTTTCCTGGTAATGGCAAGAATGTATGTCATTTAGTATATCAATAGCCGGCACCCTGGTAAACAGTGGGCCCAGCTAGTGGCAACTTTTATCCATCTCTTGTGGTGGTGGCTGGGATGTCTCTAGGTGTATGCAGTTCTGTGGAGAGCAGTGAGAGACCTCATCTCACAAAATCCTGTGTTGCGTGGCACAGAACACTCACTTTGGGTGTCAGAAATGCTCTCCCATTTGGTAGAAAAGTGTATGCAGAAGATGAGATACATGGAGCATCAGTTAATCATGAAGAACTCTTGTACCTTCTCTTGTCTGAGAATCTGTCAGGAACATAGAGAGCTGGAAAGACTTCAGTAATTCAATATTGAGTATTTTATGTTTTGTCAAGAGAATTTGAGAGGATTACACTGTCCTCACCACTCTCTATTGAAGAATTCAGATCAGAAGCCAATTAAAGTCCCTACAGTCTGTTTTTTAAATACATCTTTTGTCCTTTTTTTTGACCCCTCTGTTGAGAAAGCTGTGCATTTTAAAATTAAGTTGCTTAGGATTTTTAAATAGCAGGCTTGTTTTATGAAGCAGCTTTTTAGATGCCTTTAAGTCTGTTTTTCAGGAAGGTTCTTAGCAGGTTCTCACTTTTAATACTGTAAAATAAAATAAAAAAAGGAAAAAAAAGGGCAAGGGCAAAGCCAGGGATAATTTCACAGCAGGCGCTAAGTAGGACATCTCTGTCAGTGCAAATTAGATTGTCTGGGCACAGAAGTCACCGTTCAGAGGTACTGTCTGTATGCATTGTAGCAGCCACAGTTCAGATGCCTGTTAATGATGTGGAAATAATTATTCTTGGTGGATGATCTTTCTAGTACTTGATCCGCAGTACAGTTCTGTGTGTTGAACAACAAGGCTTTGTCATGGTAAATAGTTATGTGGGTTTCCCAGATTTCTTCTACAGATATCCAGGTGTGTATTTTCTTAGCTGTGCAGTGTTACTGATGAGTGTTACTCTGTTAACATCTATATTAAGTTTTCCCTCTTTACAAAATAGGCTTGTGCTATCCTTTCATGTTTTAGGAAACCAATCTATTTAGAATTAACCATTGTCCTCCTTAAATTAATCTAAGGAAGAAACCTGAATAAATTTAACAGACCTGAAGCACGTGTGAGTGATCTAATGCATCTTCAGACAGACTGCAAGTCTTAAACCTGTCTGGAGGTCTTATCCTCTGACACCAGCCGTATCTCTAGGTTGTCACATCACTGCTTTGTGTTTGTGTTTTAGAAATAAGTTCAGGGCAGGCCTCTGACATTTTTTTAACTTTGTTAAATTGAGTTGTGTTGTGGAATTCAGCCTGTTTTGATTTATAAAACTTGAGGTGTTAAACTCTGGTGGAAGCTGAGCCAGGGTAATTGGTCTGAACTAAAGCCGTGTGTGTGTGTGTGTTCAGTGGTTTGACAGATTTTGCCTTTCTGAAGATTCATCTTACATTTTTGCTTGTATACAAGGTCTGATGTGCTTTGAAGTTGTAAGTAGAAACATTGCGGAAAAAGTCACTTTCCCATCACATTGGGAAAGTGAGAAAGAAATACAGAAGAAAAATGAGCAGTAAGGTAACTAGAAGGTTTAGCATGTCACAGTAATGGCAGTGTATTAGGCTGACATCCTGGTGAATTCTTTAAAAAAAAATTGTCCCGCAAAGTTACAGAGAATGAGATGTTCTATATTCCTTAAAACAATTCACTAATAAGGCATTATAAAAAAGTAAGTATTACTTGTGTGGTTGATGTGATAGTCAAATATTTGAAGTAATTTCTTTTTTAACATCTGTTGTTCACACTTCAAGAACATGTTTAAAATTTGGACTTCGTTGAGTTTGTGGATTTTCTCCCTTGAAGTCCCTGTATTCACTGCTTGTTTAGCTGGCTTTTAAACTGTCTTGTTGACCTGCTGCATAAGTAATGAAAAAAGAACAGTGCTGTGTGTGAACTTCTTACATTGATTTATCAGAAAAAATAATATGTAGCTGTCAAATATTCATATTTGAGTTGAAAAGTAATCTGGCCTTAAGTTAATAATGTGTAAGACCAATTTACCAGATGAATTGTTGCAGAATACTAATGTAGCAATGGGGAAAACAATCCGCAAAGCTATTTATTTATTATTTCTGTGCTCAGAGTTTTTGTGCTGAGGAGCCTGGAGTGGGGGTAGAGAGAATCTTCTGCCTCATGTGTGTTACTGAGACAAGATGGTGGAATCTCTTCTATCAGTTTCATAATCCAGTCATGCCTGTGCTTTAAAGCCAGCTATTAGGGTTTTCTGTGTTGGTGAGTTTCTTCCCTATGGTGAAAAAGGAGGAGTTCTGAATTGTTATTCTGTTTCTTTAAAATTAAAATCTAGAAAGCAGCCGCTGTTAACAGCGGGAATGGGAAATATTTATGTGATGTTCTCTGTTCTTACAAACTTGCTGCAGGGAATACCTTGAAATTCTGTTCATTTGTAGCTAAGGATTACAGACTTTAATGTTAAATCCTCTATTATAATTCTCTGTAATTGACAGGGTTTTTTTCTGGTTAAAGAAATATTTTATGGAAGATTTCTTTCATTCTTAACTTGTCAGATACTGCTTCACAAGGTCCCTGTTTTTTTTAATTGTTTAACTGCAAAGTAGTAATAGTTAAAACTCAAGTTTCTTTAATTATTGGGGCTCATATTGAGCACACAAAGTTTCAAACAAAAAGTAAGATTTTAACATGGAAAGCCACTTTTATATAAGAACTTTGGGGTTTTTTTTTAATGTATTTTCTAATTTGTTACACAGTACTTTGCAGTGTACTTACTAAGTTATACTTTTACTCCAGCCAGCCTCAGAGAGCTAAGACTTCTCTAAGGAACTGGCTGAATTACATTCAAACTTTCAGTAGCAGCTGAGTTGTTAGTTGTGCTCTGATTCTGGAAGTTACTCTATTGATGGTCTCAGTTGGAAAGAAACAGCTGACTTTAATTCCAGTAGCAGTATGATTTTTTCATGTAAACAAAGCAAATGTTGATTGGGGGGGGGGAACACCAAGCAGAAAACACTATCCTTCTCAAGGCTGGTTGTATGCAGTGGATTAATTCATTTACAATTCTTTAGTGTTGGAAACAAATGTGACTGAATTAATGGAACTGTTCACCATGGCTTTCCAATCTGCTCCTCAAAGTTGGTTCTAAAGGGGTGAGACTTCCCACACTTGTGATGTGGAGAAACAAGCATACAGTGAAGCACTTAGCCTCATTATTGTATTTTTCCTTTTTTCCACTACCAATGCATGTGTCAATCCTTATGGAACTCCAGGATGTGCAGTGGGATGCAACAAGACAAAAAGGCAACATATATGAACCGTTTTCTGAGCCATTCCTAAGTAGTTCAAGGAATACACTTAAAGAGTATCTTATGTGTGAATTTTTTTTTTTGGTCTTTGATTGCGATGGCATGTGTACTCACCTCTGTAATGACACTGCTTATGTGAGGACAGAGTCTGGGACCCAAAAATGTGTATGTTGGAGTCCAACTTTTAAAAAACTTTTTTGCTAGATACCTGGCAGATAGGCATGAGTAGTAAAAAAGGACATTATTGTTTTTTCTCAGCAGAAAAAGTTCTCCACTTAAGGAATCCTCCAGGCTTAGTTTTCTAGTAAAAGGCCAAGAAATGCCTGCACTTCAGAAGTATGTCAGATTGGCTGGTTTGGTCAGTCTCAGCATGCTACAATGCATACATCATATTTCTATCTTCTAGCTCTTTCAAGAGTAAAATTTCATTATAATTGACTTCCAGACTTTCTTCCTAAAAAGAAGTAAGTTATAGGAAGGTAAGAAACTTTGCTAATGAGGTGTTCTGATTTATGCACTGCAATTTCAGCTGTTGCCTTAAATACAGCTAGCAAGATCGTGTGCAGAGTTCCTTAATGAAACTAAAAATAGCCTGACTGTGGGAGACTTACTGTAGTGATCCTGCAATCAGGTTCCCTAAGCCTTCACTGCTTGTATTGCAAATACTGTCCAATTTTCTTAAAAGGAGCAGTTTAATGTGTGACAAGTTAACTGTTACAAATGAAAAATAAAATTATTTAAACTTTCAGCTAAGTTATTAGACCAGTGCCAGCATTACTCTAAAAACGGAAGCATTTTCTAAAGAAATACAGAAGGGTGGCAGCATTCTACTAATATCGGCATCTATTTGTGTAGGTTCTCACATAGTCAACCAAGACAGTAACATGCTGATTTGAAAATTTATGAAGTGCAATGCCCGTATGGTGCTGATTATTGTATTTTCATATATTTTTACCTTTGAGCTGTTTAAAAACAAAAGGAAGTTCTGTGATTCAATTAGTATCAGTCATAAGTATTTGCAAGTAATAGAAGGGCAAGCTTGTCCCAGGGCCCACCCTCTCCAGCGGAATCGTTGTGTTCTCAACCACGGTGTAAAATTTATCTGAGGTTATTTTCTGAGCTCCATGTCGTAGGTCACAGATGTGGTACACCATTCGAAGTACTTTGTGTGAGTTCTTTGTTAACCGACAATTTTTTTTTTTGGCTTTTAAATAAAGTTCATGCAGAACAGCCTCAATATTTGGGGGGAGGAAGGTGTGAGTAAATACCATATAGCATGTTCCTTTGTTTATGTGTACACAGAGAGCGAACTGAACAGAAATGTGTTTTGTGTTCTAATAATACCCTTCATCAAGAGATTTTAACTCTTGTGTGCAAAGCAGAAAGGTATAGTGAACTATACCTTTATTCTCTTAATTCTAAAAACAAATTTGGTTCTATTTTTCCATATGCTATTATCCGTA